TATTTATTGACCATTGGACACATCTTATTTAAGGGCTGTGCACAGATGACGTGAACTTATTGACCATTACATTATTGGTACGATAGGGCAGGGGCGGTTTTATCGCGATAATGCCTACATTCCAATTTCGCTTTTCCGTGAGCGATTGTGTTTATTGAAATAAAATACCTATGTTATGTTTTTTACATTTCCAGGTGCCGTTGTATAAAAAAATTAAACATCAACGAAACAGAAATATAATTAGATTAAAGAATAAAAGACAAAAATGGGGAAAACCTACGAGGTTAAAAGGGCGACCGTACTTCTAGTCGTATGAAGCGGGGAACCGAAACTACGCCACGTGACTCAATGACCGAGCATATGATCTAACGCGCACGTGTCAGACCAAACGACCACCAAACTCAAAGGAATGTAATAATATATATATTGTTTCTTACCTCTTCATTGACAGCAGCCATAAACCAACAAGTTATAAAAACTGTCAGGATATCATTGGTCAGCCAAGAGCATTTTAAGATAATGACCACGAGTTCATTTTGTCCACTTCTTACCAGATCATACATGATGAAGCAGGCTAAAAACACGTTACATCCCACCACATTGACTATCCACAAGCTAATCGGTTTATCGAGATGTTCAACCATTCGGCACAGTTTTAAATGAATATGTCGAATGTCATTTAAATTGTCCGGAAAACCCTGGAGTTTCTGTACCGAGCTCTCTAAACACAATTTCACCATGGAGAATGCCAGCTTAAGACAGTAACACATGGCTATCATGAACATACCCGGGAATATCCAAGCAGCAACGTCGAATAATTCAAATATTATAATCGCTATAGCGCTTTCAACATTTGCCGGAAACGGATTAGTAAGCATGACAGAACTGTTGAACAAAATTTCCGAGAGCAGCGAAGAAAAGATACTGAAAATAAAATAGATGATGCCTAGAAAAAGAAATATTTTACATATTCTCCGCATTTTTTTGGTTTTCGTGTTGATATAATTTGACCAACTTCCTGTTGTTATGATTCCATACCACGTGTTGTAGAAGGAATTCCAAGTTCCTTTCCGACAGTGCCATAGTAATATGGATGTAGTAACAGCACATTGTAAAAGCCACGTTTGCTTGATGACTCTGTTTACTGTATGGTTGGGCTGATAATCAAATCCAACCCAAAACGATGGAATATATCTCAATACATTAATCCAAACCAACACAATAACAGCGACACTGTATACTTTGCTGAATTTAGAAAGCCTATGCGAAGTTGAACCGCTACCAAACCTATCATAGTACATACCGAAAAGCTGCATACATTTTAACAAAGGTCTCAAGATGTCGTGAACACAGTATCGTAGGTCGTGATAGCTCTCCGTCTTCGTGTCAGTGTTGCTTTCCATTTTCTTCTCACAGTTGCATTCCGTCTTCTTTCCCCGGATCCTGATCTTTCAGCTGCTGGCTCGATTCTTCCAGCATGCCTTAACTGACCCGGACTAGTCATGATCAAACTTATGTTATATCAGTTTGAATCGATATATTCCGTACATGAGATAACACAGGTTGATTGAGTTTTCGCAAAGTAGTTAATGGAATGGTAAAAATAACAAGTACTTTGTTAATATCAGCACGGATAATGGACTGTATTGGGTAATGCGGTGTGTAATGATATAGGGATATTATTTTATGACATGTTTTATCATTTTTGTTATAATATAGGACACCGTTAGCACAATCTAACTATATCATTGCAAATACTGCTTACGTTAAAGATATAATTTACCGTGGAAATAAGAAAACATCGTTATAGTGCGCCCACCGGGATATATTGCGCCAAACAGGGTGATTTATGCGTGTCATTGAGTCGACTGGCCTGGTTTCGAATCCCCGGTTGTACGTGACAAGGAGTAGGGTCGCCTGTCCAACCTCGTGGGTTTTCTCCGGGTCCTCCGGTTTCCCCCCCACCGCAAGCGAATTATTGAAATAAAATTAAACCATATGTTAATCCCGAAATGACCTAGTTTGTGTCGAGTGGACGTTAAACCCCATTTCTCTCTCTCTCTCTCCTGTTGTCACGTGGTTAAAACCGTATCAAAACATATTGCTTTTTATAAGGATTGTTGCATTTTGAAGCGTTATAATTCCAAATTATACTCAATACGAAAATAACCATCAAACAACGATTTATCCGCTTCACAATATCAAGGCATTTGTATCGGCCATAAAATCAAAATAGATACGTCAATTTGGACCTTCGCATCGATACGAAAACGTCATGGATTCGTGTGTACTTGTGACGTCAATCCGTAATGAGTAAAAAACGTTAAGCGTATGGAGCTAGATTTATGTAGGTATGCAAACGAATATGTTTCTTGTCTCATATATTGAATTTTCCACCATCTTCGAAGCTTTGTGTATATTGTTGATTTTGTAAAATGTGCTCAAAAGCAATATTCTGCTTGATTTGTTGTACACTTGGCAAAAAAAACAGTGGAAACTTTGCCTTGACCGAGAAGTTCATGGAGTAGAAATTAACGCAATCTAGCTATTAGCGCACGTCGGATTGCGAAACCGCGTGTTAGAGGATACGAAAACGAAAATATGTTCGTTTTCTGTTCGTACCGATGCGAAAGGTCCCTAATAGCTGATATTTCTATATATGTGTCGTCAATGTTATACTCTTTATGCACACGAACTAGATCTTCTGTAACTGTCATATAAACATGTTCTGTTCACCAAAAACCTTTGGGCCCAAATCGATCCGCGTATTGTATACATATAAATTATCGGTAATACACACAATTTAGCACCCGGGAGTAAAATTATGAAAGTAAAGTGATAATTGTATCATGTTGGTTTTGCTCTTCAGTTTCAGTCGCAATTAAACAAGCCAAGAACAGTTGTATATCATAATTGATCGCGGTGTATACACAGAATTGTTACTTGTTCTTGTGTAGAGGGGGAAGGGATGGATGGCCGAATTGTTAGCGCATGTGCGCTGTACCATAAGGTCTCTCATGGATTCAACTGGCGTGGTTTCCATTTTCCGGTTGTACGTGGCAAGGAGTAGGGTCGCCTGTCCAGCCTAGTGTTTTTTTTCTGTTTCCTCCCACTGCTAAAACCCCTAGGCGCAAGCGAATTATTGAAATAAAATTGAACCACGTGTTAGTCCCGAAATGACCTAGTTTGTGTCAAGTGGACGTTACCCCCCCCCCTCTCCTTTGACAGATATTACAGACCTTGTGATTTAAGCACACACCACACAATGTGCTATGAGGGAAAGTGTTTCCCCGGACACCGACACTACGGCCTACTCTTATTTCGAATCAGTCTGAACGTCAGTTGTTCTCCCAACCGGGTCTATATTGTAAAACTCTTAGATTTTTTAAGAGACAATTTTTTATCGAAAATTTTAATTTTCTATTTTAAATACATATATATATATATATAAACTAAAAAACAGCTGCTCTCAGTATATCAAATACTAATATTTGTGACTGTCGTTTGTCTGTCTGTTCGGGGTTGGCGGCTACACTAGGTCTGCCCCGAGTCTGAAATTTGGGATATAGGGGTAGCTCGGACCGGGGAGTAACATAGGTCAGGTGGCGTTAGTCTACCACTTCCGGTTTCGGAGTTATGACCCCCGAGCGAAGCCGGGCATTCCTCTAGTAATATTTAAAAAAAAATAATAGGCCTAAATTTATCACTTTCCGCCGAGCACTTTCGACCGTTGCGGTTTCTTACATTATCATAGTGAGAACTGCCAGCTCTTTATCTAGTCTCCCATAATGTATCTTTAACAACCGTATAATTTTAGCCGATACGATAAATCAATTATTGTAAACAATATTTTATTTGTTTGGAAAGTATGGAACAATTGGCTATTAAACGTGTTCTTAGCCACAGATGAAATTTCCCCAAAAACGTACGGGTATGTCGGACTTCATAAGCCAAGTTGGAGCAGAACGGTAAGTCGTTCCACTTCTATTTAAGATGTAAGCTCGCTGACCCGGAGGTCCCGTTATCGTTCCCAGACCTGATTTGGCCGCGAACGAAAGTTTCCGGCGTGGTCCCCCCTTTGTCAGTGGTACAGGACGGAGGGCCTGGCAACGAGCGATAGGACGGAAACTGAGGTCCCGTGTACACATGGGAATTCATATAAAGTAGGCCGAAGCGCCTCTGCCCGGGTAAATTTCCTTCATAGCACATTGAATGACCTATGCCGTCTTCATTAGTCGAGTCAGGACAAAACGGTAGGACGTTAAACCCCATTTCATTTCATTCTACTCGTCATTGAATTCAAGATGCCAAGGGACCTTTGGTTTTCTAGACACTGTTCCTTGTCGGGTGTATTTTTTTTTTATCGTACCGACTTTAGAGTGGATCAATTTGAAATTTTCAGACAATTCCCTTTACATTATCTAGTTTTTATCTATATATTATAGTGAGAACTGTCAGCTCTTTATCTAATCTCCCATAATGTATCTTTAAAGGGAGTATTTGTTTTGTATAAACTGTTTCATAAGGCAAATGCATTGATTATGTCCACCATAAACAAATTCTATTCTATTTGTCCAATCACTGAGACGGCTTTGGAAGATTTAAAGGGAGTATTTGTTTTGTAGAAACGCTTTAATAAAAGACAAAGTAATTGACCAATTCCATCGTACAAACGCGTGTGACAAATTTTGTCCATTTATTCAGATAAAAAGATTCATCATCATCCTCCACCACTCATCCACTAGACATATCAATGGCACGCATTAAAGCACAAAAACGAATCTTCACCATTAGCAATTCAACAAATGATTGATTATTTATCAGCAATTGAAGTGTGTTGGTTCGTATAAATTAATATGTGTTCATTCGCATGAGCGACCATGAGTCTGTAGCAATTGTTAGGGGAATTGCTGTTAATAACTATAAATATATAATTACATTGGCTGATGATTAAAAACTCAATAGAAACACACGATCCGACTATTAAACGATAAAGCTGAGAAGCTTTAGATATTGTATTAGGATAGGATAACCAGTGATACCGGAATAATTCGGAATAACATAACCAGAGTGTCGCCGGTATTACCAGAACAAAGATACTTCAGCCGATACACAGATGGACATGGGCAAACCCGTTAAACCACTAGGAATGAACAAAATTCAGGAGTCGATGAAACCAATTCTGGTGTCGTTGAAATTGTTTGGCTTATTTTATGAATCCACTAATAATAAGATAGGCGTGGAGGACACCCAATATCTTGGATCCTCGATAGAGAAGAAAACCCGTACTAACACATTACGGAAGATATACTGCTGGGCTGTGCTGTGGTGTTTAACAATAAGTACTCTAAGGCATATTCCCGGATTTTGGACAGGTGCTGCTTTTGTAACGGGTTTTACAGTTCCCAAGGTAATTTTCACTACCTGGTCCTTTCAAAGCGTCTTCAGTGCTGTCCTCATACTTTTCTACTGCCGTAATGGAACTTTTGATGCGTATTTCAGGCTGTGGAACAAGGCCATCATGGACAACAAGTGTACCTGTCTGGGATCCATATTGAAAGACCTGCGTCGATTTTCAATAATATGCACGGTGTTTGCTTGGGGATTCTGGATTTGTAACTGTGTTGGAATATTTCTAATGGTTTTCATTTTTAACACTGACTTTGTCAATTCTTATATTAATCCATTGCCCAATAACTTAACCTGGAAGCTGATACTATTTGTGTGTCACATATACCTCTCATCCATTTGGGTCTTCAGTATCGCACTGGTGTTGATCTGTAGCAAAAGCATCACCAACGCCTTTTATCTTCATTCCAAAACTATAGGATGTGTGATCAAAACAAACCCTAAGGCATTTCCGGAAAAGGTGGAGATGATTCGACGAAAGCATTTGGAGCTGTGTCATCTTGTGGACATTCTAGATCGTCCTATGAGAATGCTGTTGGTGAATGTATTGGGTATAAACATCTTTCTGGCTTGTTTTATTCTGTATCAGCTGATCAACATCAGCGATACTCTGTTAAACACGTTGATGATGGTGATGTGGGTGATTTCGGCATATCTTGGTCTGGGATCAGTTTCTTGGTTTGCTGCTATTGTTAATGAAGCAGTAAGTATTTTTCTCAATTTCTTTTATGTTAGCTGTGTATAAATTTAGATGTCATTTAATCTTTTGATATGATATTGTCTTTTGTTGTGATTATTATACGCCCACATTACCATGTGGATGTATATTGTCGTCCCCCTTGCAACTGTCAAAGGTTCTTTTAAGTACACACCAAGGTGATAATAATTATTATTATTAAAGCAACAAGTCAATTATAAAGCGGGGGTGGTTGGCCGAATGGTTAGCACGTGCGTGCTGTATCATAAAGTCTGTCATTGAGTCAACTGGCGTGATTCGGAATCCCTGGAGTAGGGTCACCTGTTCAACCTCGTGGGTTTTCTTCGGGTCCCCCGGTTTCCTCCCACTGCTAAGGACCCCGACGCGCAAGCGAATTATAGAAATAAAATTGAACCATGTGTTAGTCCCGAAATGACCTAGTTTGTGTCGAGTGGACGTTAAATCCAATTTCTCTCTCCCTCTCTAGATGATAAAACAACTTGCGAAAACCAAATCTATTTGATGAATATGATTTTCCAAACTAATTGGAGACATGTCACCATCCATAGCTGCCATATTTGATGACCGTACAATTTTAGTCAAGTATTACTTCAAGTTTCTTGTAATATTAAAAAAAAAAACTTCCGTAAGACTGAAATAGAGTTTTATAGCACGTTACCTCCAACAGGGCTATAATGCGCCAAACACCTGGTGAATATAACGAGATAAGAATGAATGAATCGAATATTGTTTAATGGTACGTCAGCTCCAACCGGGATGTAACTTTTCATTCAACAAATTAAATGATCAATTTCTCCGTACACAAATTATATTCAACTATGGCTTCTGAAGATTTAAAGGGAGTATCTGTTTTGTAGAAACTGTTTCATAAGACAATTCCTCCGTGTGGAATGAATGAAATATTGTTTAGTGGCACGCACGTCAGCTCCAACCGGGCTATATTGCGCCAAACATATGGTGATTATTTCGAGACGAGTTAAATTATATCACATAACAAATTACATGCATAAATAAAAACACCGTAACATTAAGTATGTAACATTAAAAATAAAATCCATTTTTTATGCAAATAACTATTTAAAATTTATGATAAAAACCTGCCTCTTTTAACAAATCTAACACTTTACCATAGAAACCTGCTTGGGGAAACATGTGATGTAATGACTGACAACGGTAAAAATGCGATTGATTATCATTGAGATGCTTGCACTCAATCAAAATGTGCTTAACCGTCAAAGGAACATGACAGGTATTCACATTCTGGTTGAGGCTCGCTTTAAGATGAAAATATGCGTTAAAAAAGTCCTCCGTGTGGTATATTTTGTCCAATTATTCAGTTAAAAAGATTCATCATCCTCCAGCACTAATCTACTACACGTAACAATGACACACATTAAAGCACAAAAACGAATTTTTACCATTAACAGTTCAACAAATGATTGATTATTTATCAGCCATTGAAGTGTGTTGGTTCGCATCAGAGACAATAAGTCTTTAGCAATTCTCGGGGGAATTGCTGTTAATAACTATAAGTCTGTAGTTATTGTCAGGGGATTTGCTGTTAATCTGTAAGTATATAACTACTCTGGTTGATGATTAAAAGCAAGCAACAAAGCTGTCGAATGGCGAAACATAACAACCGACTATAAAAAGATAAAGCTGAGATGTTTTAGTTCATTTCGATATTGTATTAGGATAACCAGTGATGCGATAAGTCAGCCAGGCAGTAGAATAACATAGCCAGTGTCTCCAGTATTACCAGAACAAAGATACCCCAGCCGATACACATATGGCCATGGACAAACCCGTGAAACCACCAGGATTGAACAAAATACAGGAGTCGATGAAACCAATTCTTGTGTCGTTGAAACTGTTTGGCCTGTTTTATGATTCCACTAATAATAAGATAGGCGTGGAGGACACCCAGGATCTCGGATCTTCGGTCGAGAGGAAAACCCGTAGTAACACATTACAGAAGATATATTGCTGGGCTGTACTGGGCTGTTTAACGATTAGTACTCTGAGGCATATTCCCGGATTTTGGACAGGTGCACAGGGTTTTACAGTTCCCAAGGTTATTTTCACTACCTGGTCCTTTCAAGGCGTCTTTAGTGCTATCTTTATACTTTTTTACTGCCGCAATGGAACTTTTGCTGCCAATTTCAGGCTGTGGAACAAGGCCATCATGAACAACAAGTGCATCTGTCTCGGATCTTTATTGACGAACCTGCGTCGCTTTTCAATAATATGCTCATTGTTTGCTTGGGGATTCTGGATTTGTAACTGTGTTGGAGTATTCCTAATGGTTTTCATTTTTAACGCGGACTTTATCAATTCCTACACCAATCCATTGCCCAATAGCTTAATCTGGAAGCTGATACTATTTTTGTGTCACGTATACCTCTCATCCATTTGGGTCTTCAGTATCGCCCTCGTGTTGATCTGTAGCAAAAGCATCACCAACGCCTTTTATCTTCATTCCAAAAACATAGGATGTGTGATCAAAACAAACCCTAAAGCATTTCCGGAAAAGTTGGAGATGATTCGACGAAAGCATTTGGAGCTCTGCCATCTTGTGGACATTCTAGATCGTCCTATGAGAAAGCTGATGGTGAATGTATTGGGTTTAAACATCTTTCTGGCTTGTTTTATACTTTATCAGCTAATAAATAGCAGCGATACTCTGTTGAACACATTGATGCTGATGATATGGGTGCTGACGGCGTATCTTGGTCTTGGATCAGTTTCCTGGTTTGTTGCTATTGTTAATGAAGCAGTAAGTAAACGATTTCCCATTAGTGTACTTTGTTTTTCTCAGTTTGGTTTGTTTTTCTCAGTTTGGTTTATATTGGCTATGTTTAGATTTTCTGGTTTTGATGTGATATTTTCCTTTTGTTTTGATATTGTCTTTGACCTTTTGTAATGTTTCGGGTAGTGGTGGGGGTATGTCTTTTAATCACTTCAACCCCACACTAGTACATTTCAAGGAGTACGGGGCTGCCTAACCTCGAGTAGTTTCACCCAATGCTAAAGACTCCAGTCAGTTTCGACCCCACCCATGTACAAGGAGTACAATTGTCTGCCTAACCTCGTGGATGTTTTCCCATCGCTAAAGACTCTTACGCACAAGCAAATGATTAAAATAAGGTTTTACTATATTACTCTCGAAATGATCCATTCGGTGTTGATGGGCATACCCCTTCACCCTCCGCTTGTATATTTATAACATTTATGAATCAATAATCAATTATGGTAACGGTTTCAGTTCGTGCATCTATACATTAGTTCTGCAATATCATAATTAATACTAAACACACAAAGCTACGTGTTTAAACCCAACTTCATGATCAGTACACTCAGCTTGAACAACGCGACCACATCTATTTACATTATAATATGTTGAATTAATATTATATGTTGTCATTATCACATGATTTATCGATCCCTACTTCTAAGTTTCTAGTTGGACTTACATGGATGGGATTTGGTTGCGGGCGAACAGAAATGAGGGGGCCTTTTTTTAAAATCCGATTGAATCTAAGCCGGGGGGTTAATTATCGTTGGTATTGCGTGAATTCTATTCAGCGATGGGCAACTGACATGTATGTGTGCACTTTAGTCAACGAAAAGCATAACAGCCTGATCCGGAGCTTACAGTGGAAGTCCCATTCCGTTGTAGATGAACTTTCTCAGCCAATTTCCCCCCCTGGGGTGTAGGGGGTGATAAGAATATACCCTTCGTAGTTCCTGCGTCACGTAAGAGGCGACTAAAAGGATCCCTTTAATGGGGCAACGTGTTTGCCGTGCGTTGCGACCCGTGTCGGTGGAGAGTGGAATCCTGGTAATTGAGTGGGGATTTGGCTTGCGAGTCCTTTCTCTGCAACACATTACTTTGGCCCATGGTTCACCTAAACGGGTGGTCAGAGTGGCCCACTCTGATCAATCGGCTTTGGTCGTTTTTAGCTCTGTAGAATGTACGTTTTTTCAATTTCATTGCTTTGTTGTTTTTTTCGCTCAGCAAGTTTACCTTTGTGTCCTGAGTACATTCTACAGAGCGGCGGCTTGGGTCAATCAGGTTAGACAAGTATTTTTACTTTCTGGCTTGAGTATACCCCTCGTCGAGCCCTGAGGCCATGCGCTGGTTATCCGTGCTAGTCCTCCCCTTAGTAGGCAGGGAAGTAACCTGGGGGACGACGAGGGATGAATTTAAAACATATTACGTTCATGGATACCCCAATCCCCCCCACACCTATCAATGAACGACAAAAGCAGAAACGTCCTAATTCAGAGGACGTTTCTAACATATTTAAAACAAAAATGGCAAAGTCGTGGCCGAGGTTTCTCTTGATTGAGAGCCCCTCTACTGACTTATCCAAAGTCTCACCATTTTGGATAGCTAAGGGCATTGCCGGCTTGGCCGGTGAGCCCAAGGCTATTAAAAAATTGAAAAATGGAACACTCTTGATAGAATGTGTTAAGGAGCAGCATGCTACCATGCTTCTTAAGTCAACAACATTGGCAGACATTCCTATCAAGGTGTCTCCACATAGATCATTAAATTTTAGTAGAGGCGTTATTCGCTGTCGGGATCTTGAAGGCAGCAGTGAGGATGAAATGGTAGAATACCTTTCTTCTCAAGGCGTCCAACATGTTAAAAGAATTAGTGTACGCCGAGGAGATAAGGTGATTCCTACAAGCACCTATTTACTCACTTTTAATCGTCCCGACATACCGAAGTCAATCAAGGCAGGTTATTTAAATATACCTGTTGATTCTTATATTTCCAACCCTCTTCGCTGCTATAAATGTCAGAAATTTGGACACAGCAAGACCGTCTGCAGGGGCAAAGACACCTGCGCTCGTTGTGGTCATGATGGCCACGAGAGCGCTGCCTGCCAGGCTGAGTTTTGCTGCGTTAATTGCAAGGGTAAGCATTTTGCTTATTCTCGCGAATGTCCAATATGGCAGAAAGAGAAAAGAATTCA